GAAGCAACATTACGTTAATGTCAAATATCGTTCAAGACACGCATTGCTTACCGATTCCACCGATCGGTACACCGCCACGGTGGCTTTGTTGAACTTTAGCTCCACAAAACCGTCCTGGTGGACGCTGTGGAAGAAGTAGCCAATGTTATTCCACAGCAGGTAGATGTTCCAGTCTCCGAGAAAGTGCGCCTCTAGCGTGTCCTTGATTGCCTTCGTCACCTCGTAGATCTTCTCTCCCTTACAGGTGAATGCCTCCTTCACCACCTCCACCACCTTCTCCACCACCGGTTTGGCCGTCGTGTGTCCGTCCACACGTGCACTGCCAATGTTTTTGCGAATCTCCACCAGCAGCTCCTTGTTATTGGAGACTCTTCGACTGGTGGACTGCTGGGCCGGGGCCACTTCGCCGCCCTTGGTCAGGTCGCGAATAACCCTCACGGCGGCGTCAATCTGGGCGCGGACACTGCGAATGTGTTCATTGGTGTCACCCAGCTCCTTCTTGACGCGACCCTTGTACTCCACTATGGACTTCAGACAGTTGTGCTCGGCGACGTTCTTGCACAGCTCAAATCCGCACTCGCTGCAGCAGTTTGACTTTCCGAATTTGCAGCTCTTCTCGTGAAGCTCAATGTTCTTCAGCAGAACGATCTGAAAGAGGAGGTAAAAAGGGCGGTTAAAATACATTTTGTTTCTCATGTTAGAGGAGGCATGTTACCTCCTGGCATCCTTTGCTCGCCATCGCACACTTGATCCTCTGTCGCTTGAGTATCTTGGCGATGGCCGTCGGAGCGTTGTGCACTCCATCTGCAAACTTGAGCGGTTTCTTCTCCGCCGGACATGTTTTTTTGGTGGCGAGCCAGTTCTTGATGCAGGACTCACAGTACGTCGACTGACAGCACTTGGTGACCAGTGGTCGGCAGAGGACGTGTCGACAGATGGAACAGGTCATGTCGCGCACTTCGGCGCTTGCTTCAACGAACCGACTCCACTCGTAGCCAGGCATTGTACAGTGAATGGGCACTTTAGTGACTTTAGTGAGTATCACTAGTGCAGCTGCAACGCAATTGTTGTTGCTGTAGTTCACAATTAGAGCTTTAGAAGTTAGATCGTCACTGTTTATTGCAAAGTTTTTATTGCGCAAAAAAAGAAGTTGAAATAAGTTGAAAACTTTCAATAAAAAGTCCAGTAAAACGGAGATTGTTCCGGGAAAAAAATGCTCAAAGTATGTTACACTAGCTGGAAGATTTTAATAAACTGAAAATGACTGCAAAACATGATGACAAGAGATGAAAGGATTTGTGTTGAAAAGTGAAACTGAAATATAATGAACTGTGAACTTTAAAAGTTCAGTCGCGATAATGATGCATCCGCAGACTAGTGTCAGTTTCAGTCAGAAAACAAAATTATTTACTTCGATGATAGGGACTGCCTCGTACTCCCACAAAGGAAGAGCTTCGGTGACTGTTTCGGTTGCTTCTGACTGGATGCTGAAACATGCAGCTCTCGCCAAACTGACAGCTGCCAAAGGTAGTAAAGCTAGTGCACACCTTTGTACGGTAGTGCGGTACGGCTTTCAGTTCGTGCTTTCCATGGGCAAACAGACACTTTGCCCCATAATCACATCGACCCGACTCTCCGTACTGTCGACAGAGTTCGGTTTTGTAGAGGGCAGGGTTGAAGTTCTTCGGAAAGGAAGACGGCATGTGAGAGGTGTCGTGATCGTGAGAGCCCGGCCGCGTCCGCCTCAAAGCTGCCTGAGGATAGTGGTGACTGCCTCCGGTGCAAGGTCGAAGTGTGTAGTTGTTTGGCGAGCTGTTACCCGAATTGGAGTTGGAGTATGATCGTGGAGGTGTGCCACTGTCACCGTAGTGGTTTGGCGGACTTTCGCTGACGCGAACACGTGGGCCAGAAGCAGTGGAGCCACTACTGCCAATGGAGTTACTTCCAGTTGCTCCATTGCTGATCAGTGGAAAGTTGTCACCAAAGTTGACTGAACCAGAAGTGAATGCATTTCGTTCCCACATAATCAGCAGATCATGCTTTGGAGCCTTTTTGTCGAATCGAGCTTCAAAATCACGCTGAATGTCATCTGTAGAAGAAGAAAACGGTTTTCATTAATTCTAAATGTTATTTGTCAACAAAGTATTTGTTTTACCGTAGCTTTTGCCGTAAATGTTGCGGTCATGCACCCAAACACAACACCAAAGCTTCTCCTCGATACTGAATGCGTTGTCTCGTTGGCGCAAAGATTCAATGTCGGTCATTTTAAAAAGAGGTTTAGTGATTTGTGAAGAAAGATTTCGTCAAAAGTGTCCTATGAAAAATGAAATGAAAGCATATTCACACTGAATTGGCTTCAATCACCTTAGTATTTTTATAATTTAAATTAAGTTAGTTTCATAATATTCAGGCATTTTTAGTATTTAAAAATAAAATCACAGTAGATATGAGATCACAATAAAATGAAAGAGCCCTAGCCAATTTTATCAACATTATTAAAGTATAACCAAACAAAAATCAAACGGATTGGTGCAGTTAGTTTTAGGGCACAAGGCAATGTTGGTGAAGACATTTCTGAAGTTATTACAAATAAATGATTAAAAGTGGATCACTTGAAATGTTGATTTGACAACAAAAACTGTGTGAAAACTGAATAATCACTTTATCACGTGAAATCAATTCCCTATCATGAGAAAATGGGGCAAATGAAAAAATCAGTTGGGAATCCGCTTTGTAAAAGGAGAGTAATTGATATATGTTTACTACATATTACAACCACAAATATCAATAATGTAAAACTAATATGAAAAGTGCACTAAAAGTTATTAAAATAGACTTATTTATAAGATCACAATATCCATTTACCAAAACGAAACGGGGAGTTCTACTTGTCAATACTTGCAAGAATAAAAGCACATAATCAACTGCACATGAGATCGATCGGCAGAACTTGTGGCAGATAGGTGAGCTTATCCGTGAAATGGTCAGACAGGGGAATCACTTTCAGATCGAGGATGAGCCTCTCAACAAAGAAGAAACTTGGTGGGATGAAGGAAAAGAAAAGAAAACACTGGCTCAAAGTGCAGAATGAAGAAGAGGAGGTAGCAGTATTCTGTTGAGAGCTGAGTATTAAAACGGTGGCAGTGAGGAGTCGAAATGATGCTGCTTTCGCTAAATGGACTATATAGAATACAGGGACTGAATGCGGATACTTTCTTCGGACATGGCCGGCTGGATCGCTGCCCGAGTGGCAGTGAGATTCTCACTCTCTCCGTCCAGCTGAAGACCAGAAACAACAAAAATCAAACAATGCTGCTCCATTTTTAGTCAGTACCTTTGCCGGTAGATGGTGGCGTCGATGTTTAACAAATTGAATTTTTTTTTATTGAAACAGAATTAGAAATATTAGAAGATAAGATAGACAGATCATATAAACATGGAAATGTACATTGGAAAATGTGTCAATAAATTGTACAGAAGAAGTGTACAGAAAACTGTTTGATACAAAAAGGAGAATGATGTTGGTGTAGAGGTGTGTAGTCAAAGAAGATGCTGTCGTGCAAAAGGAGTAAAAGCAGCTTCAAAATAGGTGAGAGATGAGGTGAAAGGAAAGTCAACATCAAATGGGAGGTATAGTTCAGTGATGTACAGTGCAAAGAGAAAAAGAAGAGGAACGTAGAGGACGCAGTTTGGGAATTGAAAAGCATGTCATTTAGAAGGCTCGGTGCTAATTTGAAGACATTGCCGTGGTGCTCTTTTCAATAAAACTTGAAACAGACTGAGTTATATCGATGTTTCACAGGCTTATGTTCAAGTGGTCTGCAATATCAGTTAGTTGATTAACCAATTCTCGACTGCAGTTACCCAGGTGATCGCGAATTACTTTGTAAGCTCAAATAGGCTTTTTTCACGAAGAGTTCGTGAAACGTCATATTGATAATTAGCACAGGTAGCAAAAAGGAGGAGAAAGAAAAAGAGCGAATGATTTGTTCAAGAATTGCCACAAAGTTGAGCTACCAAAAGCTCTGGTTTTGTTTAGCAAACTCATCACTTGTAGGTGGTAGTCATCGCCAATGACCGTTTACAGGGTTGACAAAAAAATGTGCACCCGCATCGGGACTGCCAGCCAGTCAGCATAGTCAGCATGAATGTTGAAATGCGGGAAATGTTGAATTATCAAACGCGCAAACCGGCGGTTAATTAACAACGGTAAATAAACATGGAAAATCGATTTGCATAACGGTGTGTACGTGTGTGTGTTTGCAGCGAGCACTTGAGGGTCCAATACATGCAAATAAGGCGCACTGAAATGTGTGTACTGGGTAATATCTTTAGCAGTGAAGCACTGCAGTGGCACACAAATTGACTGATTGCAAAAGTAGGCTCCCCTCGGCTGTGCTGGCGGTGGTGGCAAACGGATCAGGTTTCGGTGAACGGATTGTTGCCCGATGTCTGCTCGTCGATGAGGAACTCACTGTGTGTGCAGGGGTAATAAAAAGAAAAGTCAGTAAAAAGAACAGGAGAAAATGCTTTAAAGAATTGCTCTACTTCTCTCTAAAGTGGTTTTAGCAATAGCAAGGGATGATGTTATTAGCCCTCATTTGAATTCCATTGAAAACAAGTTCAGTTTGCTAGATTCTTTGCATTTGCACAACTCAATCTGGCGAGAATCAATCTGCCGTTTCTTACTTTTTTGGCAGTAATTGCGTCTAATTTTATTACCCCTTAGCTAGAGTAATCTAATTAGAAAAGCAATAACACTTGTGCGACACAAAACTGGTCGTAGTTTCTTTAAAGCCGCGATTTCACAAAACTTTGTTTTTTTGTTTTTAGTGGTTTTGGTTGTGAATGCATGTGGCTATACCTGATATGCAAATAGATGACCCAGTACATAAGATTGAAGCAGAGAAAACAGACAGGAAAGACAACGCGGGAATACTTGTCAATGTCGCTGAAAGTAAAGGACGATGAGTTTAATTATTATATCCGTCGATTAACGATTATAGGGTATAATACCTAGGACAGACACCAAATAGTGTGTTGTGGTCCTTCATGACGTACGACGGTCCACTGTACATGCGGTCAGAGAGACCAGCCCTGCCGTACAGATCACCGACGCTGTTCCGAGACTGGTAGTGGTAGTAGGGCGATTGAGACTGCAACGTCGACTGGTTGCCACGATCGGCCGCACTGCTCGTCGCTGGCACAAAGACGCTCAGATCATCGTTAAAGTTGTTCATTCCTGAGGGATCCTGCTCGTCTATGTCACTGAAGATGCGACTCTTCAGCGAGGACGACCGCTCCAGTGGTCTGCTGATGCTACTCGCCGCCGCCGCTTGTCCAAGGTAGCTCGTGGACGAAGACTGGTAGCACGCGTGGCCAGTCGTTGAGCTAGATCGAAAATCCGGCTAGGGTGTGCAAAATGGTAGGCGTGAAGATGAGCTCTGAAAGTCTGATAAGCTTTCAAGTAATGCTTACCCGTTTGTGCGCTGAGTGTCCCTCTTCCGGGTCAGCCCTTTCCTGGCACTGGTAGAGTGAGGCAGTGCGTATGAGAGCCCCAGTGCCGCTGGCGGAGTTGCTTCGATTGACCCCCTCATAGCCTCCTCTTCCTACTCCCTCTGCGGCGCCACCCTCCTTTGCCGCCTCATTGTTTGCCGCCGCAATGATACACCTCTCTCGGTGATCATTGAGAATCTTAAGAATCTGCTGCGTCCTCGTCTTGCGCATGGCAATCCGCTTTCCCATGTAGCCGACAGTGGCGTACTCGAGCAGCGCCGCAAAGACCATCACAAAGCATGTGCCCAGAAAGACGTCAATCGATTTAATGTATGAGATCTTAGGCATGGCGGCATTCGTCGAGGACATCAGCGTCGTCATTGTCAGCACAGTGGTCACACCGAGTTGGACTCGTGCCGGACTGGCATTCTGCAAGAAAGAAAGGCCAAAAACAAGAGTTAAAAAACCATTAAGTTTTTTCGATCGATGATTAGCGCAAAATGCAAGTGTTTGTTTAGGATAACCTATAATTTAAGTGAAGAACCAGAATAAAGTTTACTTTTGATCAAGAATAGACTCAAGGTACTTATTGAAAAAAACTGGACAAAATATGGTTAGAAAATTTTGCTCACAAAAAGTTTCCGGCGCAATGAATTGCCAATTTGAACTGACATTTAAACGCGCATACACAAATAGAGCAGTGAAAATATAAGTTTAAACTGGTGATTTTTTTAGTTACAAGAATCATGAACAAAACACTGAAATAAAAAGGAACATCGTTGCAAGTAAATTGACATTTTGACCCTCATTGTTACTGCGGGTGTCCACTGACATGAGAAGAGATTAACAGGAACAATAGAGCAAAAAGGGCGGTGGACTTCAGCTTGGCTTGACAAATTACAGTGAGCAGTTTAGTGAAAACACACACACAGACAAAGCCAACACTTCAAATGGCTTAATACACTGCCACTGGAGAGGGCAAGAAAGCGATGGCGGTTTCCCTGTGAGAGAGTATTCATTTCCGTTGCACACACACATTCAATGAAAACAGAATCGAAATGTTATTGCAATCAGTGAGATGTCCGTAGTTCTGGCAATGATGGATGTACCTTGCCTGCAGAGACTGTACCAACAAAGAAGGTTGAGAGAGAGACTAAACGAGCAAACGATTTGGTGCTTTCAGTGCCAAGCAAAGAGAGAGAGAGAGAGAGAGAGAGAGAGAGAGAGAGAGAGAGAGAGAGAGTGAAGAAAGGAAAACGCTTGAAGAAGAAGTAGAAGAAGTAGAAAAAGTAGAGGTCGTATCAGTGGTGGTGAAAANTGTTTTAAATGCTGTCGATCAGCGTTTCACTCTGCCCTTAATTTGCGGTTAGTGATGAAAAATTTATTAGCAGCCACGGCGACAGCAAAGCAATAAAAACTAAATGTGCTAGCCACGAAATAGTGTCATTTGGCCTGTCGACTGTCAGCAGCCTGCCACCCAAAATGCTCAACTCTGCAGCCCAGTGGAGATCGAAAGTGTCGATTGTCTGCTCGGTGAGTCTAATGCTGTCTAATGGCTACCAACCATCAGCCCCCTCCCCCTCAACGCATGGCCCCTCTTGTACAGTGCTGAGAGCAGGACAGCACCAGTGATGATGGTCGCCAATTGATGACGTGCTGGATAGAGTTACTGGCAAACAAGAACGGGGAAACTTTCTGCCAGTCCAATTGTTGGTTGTTTACTGGCAGCTTGGAAGGCAATTCAGTACACAGGACCCAAGAAACACCCTCGGCCGGTGACAGTGGTTGCCGATGCAGTTGGTGAACGGGGGACGGCAGCTTTAAAACAGCACATCACACACATTTTTGACGGCAAACGGCAGTTAAAATTAAAGCTGTCAAGCAGTGTGAAAGAAAACAGCAAAGGGAAGCTCTTCGTTTAAATCGACGAATGAAGCAATAGATTGGCAGTGATAGCAAAGTAAATTAAAAAGAAGATTCTTGCTGCAAAGTTTGCAGTTGAAGAAGAAGAAGAAGAAGAAGGTTCACACAGCAGTAGAAACTGCTACTTTTTCTAGGGCAGCTTGAGCTTTCCCATTGGGTTCCTCTGGTAGATGGAAGAAAGACTCTCTTTTCCTGACTCCTTGACTGCCGGCAATGATCACGTCAACTCGTCGCCGTTCAGTTTCGGCGTATATAAATCGAAATTGAGCACGCAACCTGGCTCATGTGCTTGCCGTTTGTTTCCTTAGCGGCACCAGAAGTGTCGCATTCATTGGACGATTAATAATTCATTAATAAAGCGACAATGAAGATTGGCTGCTGCTGATTTGGAGCTGGGTATGTGTCTGTGTGTGTGTGTATTAGCGGCGGTGTTGTAAATAATCGACGACACTGGCCGAAGGTGGTGGTGGTTTGTGGTGGTGGTGGTGATGATGGTGGTTGTCTTTTAATGGTAGAAAAACAGCATCCCACAGTGCCACAACAGAAAACGGCAAGGAATCGAGGTGCAGAGAACATCATCGCCGCTACAAATCGCCATTTGCCGATTGCTATCACCTTTATCGATCTTTGCTTTTCTCATTGCCACCACAACCACCACACCGTTTGCCAAGTGTGCCAGATATCACCACCATCATGATAAATCAAAGCACCTACCAGCAACTACACACTACAGCCTGAGCCGGACTGGATCTCTGTCGGGCATTCCCTGTCAGCAGCACAAACAAACACTGAAAGAGCAGTGTCCGTTGTTCTTGTCCGCTGTTTTCATGGTTAATTCATGCTAAATGATTTTCTTTTACTATCTTGAAATATAATCGTAGCCCATTAAGGCACATTAGTACAGTGTGGGCCGAAGTGAGAGAGAGAGAGAGAGAGAGAGAGAGAGAGAGAGAGAAAATAGAGAGTTGATCGACGTTGAGTGGGTGTGCGCCCAGACAAAAAACAAAACGTGAAAATGAGAAGCACCTAGCACCAACTGATTCTGTTGTCAGCGGGCGCATATTGCTAAATGCAGAGCAGCACCCTGTAATTAGGTGCAGACAGTCAGTAGGTGGTACCTATCAGGGAAACATTCACCCAGCAGTGTTCAATTCTAATTCTTTAGTACCTATTTTCACTGCGTAACACACTGGAAGAAAAAGAAAGTGAGTGTGTTCTTTCAAATCAGCACCTTTCTGAATCTCGATTAGAGTAATGGGCACTGTGTTCACTCACCTTCCACTGACAACAATAGACTTCTTGTTCGCCTGCTTTCTGACCACCAGGACCTTTACGATCACCATCAGTGAAAGCAAATTTGGCCAACACTTCAGTGAAAACATGCAGACACATGCCTGAGTGAGAGAAGGAGAACAGCAACAGCAGCAGCAGCAGAGGCTGATTCACTCTGGAAGAGCCCACCACAAGACGACTTTCAGTTCGGTGTTAGTAGGACAGCAGTGCGTGAGAGTGTGAGTGCCTTCCAGGAGGAACATCCATCAATTATCCCCTCTTTTGCCCCTTTCTCTCCGTTTCCTTTTTCAGCCTTAACCTATGCTCATCGCACTGTTTGACTAACTGAGCCAATTATTCGAATAGTTTCTCCTAGAACAGCAAAGACTAGAAAAGCCAGAATGTGCTTGCGAGCGTTCACTCTACTTTACTCATTGGCTTGTTCGTAGTGTTAATAATTCAGCCGATTACAAAACGCAGTAATGGCCAGGCAGAAATAGGTTTTCTCTCACTTTCTCTGTAGACACACATTCGTTAGTTGGAAACAGCAGCAACCTTTCGGTGCCATCGATAATACCAATCGTAACAGCGGGCTGAGGTGTTGGTGGCTCTAGAGCGCAGTTTTGTTCTCTTTTCGAGAGAATAGAACCCACCAGAATGCTAATGGAAAAATATTGTTTCGATCATTTGCTCGACAAAAAGCAACAAATCTTAATTCGGTTTTCTCTTTTTTTCTTGTAAATTCAAAATGGATGCCACTTTGAAAGTAAAGGAAAACCGCTTTGTTAGCTTGCAGTTCATCTCGTGAGCTCAGTTCAATGTCAATGTAGAATTACAAATTGGCCTGCCAATAAATTACAAAAATCAATTTGACAGAAGTAAAATTTTTTTCGTTTCAAAAAAAATCATGTATAATGACAATTTCACAAATGTGTGTTTACCCAGCTCATTGATTTGATTACTGCGTTTCATTTGCTGTTAAAGTTTGTCACAACCAACGTTTTCAGGTAGAAAAAGGCTCAATTTAAGAGACGTAGCAAAAGTAACGGCAACGTAGACAACAACTAGAAACTAACGAATTCAAACACCAAACACAAATTATTTTTTGACCAGTCAGCCGGCAAGTGCAATGCAAATGCAATTTGCACTGTTTTCTCAATTTTTTCTATTGAAAAATCAAGTGTGTTGATTGAGTGCGTTTTTGCTGATGTTTCTATGTTAAATGATATCTAAATCAAATTCTATCTAAACAAATTTTTACTTTACAAACTACTTTTCAGTTCCCCTGACACAATTGAATTTTTTTCCGCTTCAACACTAATCAGCGGGCCATCTGAAATGGAACACCTTTTGGGCAATGATAGATAGGCTATTGACGTCTCTGGCAGCAACAACAACTAATGTCGCCAGTTATTCACTTCAAACTGAAAGAAAGAAAAACTTGGGCAGCCATACAACAACAGAAGAATAAGAGCGGTAATGCGCAGTTTTTTCTCTATGCTAACCAGTGTAACATCACTGTAAATCAGAGGCAGTCGCTAGGAGAAAAGTGGGTTGAGGAAAAGGCACAGTTGCAGTCAATAGACTGTTGGCAAATTCCAGCTCTTAATCAAACGTAATCTCCCTCCAACTGTGAGCCCAGTTTGGCGAATCCGTGCGACAACGGTGCCAGCACGCCAGCATGGCACCATCAGGGTAAGCAAGCAAACTGCCCGATATCCGTGCCTCTAGAGCAGTTTGCGAATAGGGGCAAGTAGGCAGAGACATTATGGACGGACTATTACTGATTTCATTTCATCCACTTGGCAGGTTAACTGATTTTTAGCCAGTTTGTTTTGCTGCCTGCTTCACATTTAGGAGAAAAAGAAAACGAAACTAAACGTGCCATGAAGAAGCACAATTACATTCGCAGGTTCAATTAAATATAATATTTTTATTGTATTTTTCTGCAGTATACAATAAACAATTGCCAATTTTATTTTCTGACCAAAAGCTACATGAACCGTTGTCTCGTGGAAAAAAACAAATTAAAATCTATAAAACATAGAACGTAAAAAACTTGTGGTTAACTTTGGTTTGCCATGGACTGTAGTCTACTTTTTCTTTGTGCAGTTCAATGCAGTGGGCTAGTTTGACAATGGACAACCATTATTCGTTGCCCATAAAGCAGCAAAAGGAGTTTGCTCAAAAGAGTCAGGCCTAAAAAATAATACAACATTGGTCTTGCACTTTACATGGGATTAGTTTGAACAGCGCCTAGTGTCACTAAAAGAAAAATGTATGCGATTTTGCAAAAAGCAAAATAGGTAGAGTGTAAGTTTCTGAAATAGCAAAAAAAATTTGTAAAATAGGACGCTTGCAATAATTTTTATGGTATTTGCTCATTTTTTGTTGAGTTTTGTTTCATATAAACGAACAAAATGTTAATTAATTTGTTTCCATTAGGAAATGGCAAACATAATCCTAATAAAAATTTTTGCTATATTACCAAAAACCTAGAAGGTTTAAAGATCAATATGCAGTAATTTTGGGCTAAAAGACAAAATTGTCAAAAAAGCGGCAAAAAAGTAATAGGTCTGCCATTAAGGACTGCTTTTGAAGTAGTATGATGGGTGCATTGTCTGTGTTGTGCAGCAAATGACCAAATGGTCTCTGAAGCTGTCACTGAAGCATCGATCGGTGTGCAGCCCATTTTCAACGCCAATGCAAAATGACAGCAATATGGGCACTCATAGTGTCAAAGTAGTGGGAGTATGCAGGTGAGGCAACCAGAGAGTAGGGAACACTTTAAAAGCGAGCAAGTTGACATTGCCATAGTGGACAGCAGGTGGTGGTGGGTGATGGGTGCAAGTGCATATGTCAGCTCTGCTGAGCTCATTTTACCGTAGTCCTGTCAATGAGAATGCAGTCGACTAAGAATGCCGCCGACTGCAGCCATTGTCTTTGCTCAACCTCTCTCTCATCCACACTCTCGTTTTTCTTCGGCTGATGGTCAGTCAGTGTCTCCATTTGTCGAATTTTCTGCCGCACATGTGTGATCGTAATTTGATTAAATCGCATTACAAAAAGGCAAAGAGGCTTAGAGCAAAAGAGACGCTAGCGCGGCACTATTTGTGTATTTCTCTGGAGTGTTTCTGGCCAACTGTCTCCTAATGCCTGGCTGTGTGTGTGCTGCACTTACACATGCACAACAGTTTGCTGAGTAGCTTACCTTGGCAAAGAAACCAAAGTAAAGCAAAGAGTCACAATGAATTGCTAATATGCAAATTATTAATAGAAGACCAAGACAAAAGTTACTCTAAATGCTAATGCAAACACTGCTGAAACAGCAGCCAAAAAAAGCGCAAAATGCCAAGAAGGAGCCACCAAAGCTGTTTTTAACTTATCAGCTATGTTCGAATTAATAATCGTATTAGCAGCACAAAGTATTATACTGCAAATGGACAATGCAATGTGGCTCATTTCGCCACCACACAGAAAACAGTTCACCTTTTCCCAGCAACCAGCACAAGAAAAACTGTCGGCAAAACTGACGCCACACTTTTTTCACTTTTAATTTTCAAAGTTGTTTTCTTAAAATTGCTTTTCTTATTTAGTCAGTTCTATTTTGAAAGTTACAACTTGCAATGTTTTAAAAAAAGTTAAATGTGTAATTTAACTAAAACCGCTCGATTAGATAAGCCGGTAATAAATGAGAGCAAAAACAAAAAAAAAACAGAAACACGAAGAAAGAAAAAACTTGCCCTGTGCAGCCAAAATGAAACCCAGGAAATGATGACAATCAGCGATGCAGGAATGTAGATTTGAATGAGATAATAGCCCATAGAGCGCACAAACTCAATTTCACAGACTAGACGGGAATAGTTTCCTGATTGCAAAAAGTAAAAGTAGATCTTAGTCAAACACGCTTCTCCACAACCGTTGCTGATTTACCCGTGCTGAGCACTTCCACCTTCTGCTTCTGACGGTGTTTGTTCACTTTGAACTGCGGCAGCTCAAGATTCTTTGCCAGTTCTACGTCATTTTTCCCATCAATGCCCCACTTGTACTGAATGTCCGCCATGGAGTAGCCATCTACAGAGATAGAAACCGAATCAGGTTGAGTTTGAGGAAAACAGGAATGATGGTGGTACATTAGAAAGCGTTTTATCATCACTAGAACTGAATCGATTAATCACGCCTCGGCTGGTAACTCGCAATTGCCACTTGCCTCACTTACAACTTTCAATTTCAATAGTGCAGCTTTGACGGTCCATCGGAAAGTACTGCAAATTCATAGGACAGTTGCTTGTGACGGTTAGCCTGAAAGGACATGAAAAGAAGAGAATAGTGTGAGTGCATTTGAAGTAGGCGTCAATTGTAAAACAGTCTTTAGTAGTGGCTACTTCAGTCGGAAAAAACTAACCTCATCGAGCGAAACACCTCACCGCTTGCTTTGATGCGTATAAAAGTGTTTGGCGTGGTTGCCACGTGAAACTGGGCTGACTTTTCATTGGCAAAGAAAGTGTCGGGCACCTGTGTGGAGTGCGGTGAAGCATGAAAAGAGTGTTTGTTAGCATTACAACAAGTAAACCGATGCCATTTATAGAATTTCAGAGCAGTGTGCATACCCAGATTTTTTCGGAAACTTCGGCGCCAACGTACAACGCTTCAATACCTGGTCGTGGCTTGAAGGAGAGTCGTGAATCTCTCCAAGCTTGCCTGAAGTAGAGGTCTGATGTAAAGTCCTGTTCAGTGTTCAAACAAACAGCCGCACGGTCAGTGATCACGGCATTACAATGTCAACAGACTAACATCATTTCAACTACTACCAACACTATACCATTTGAACTGCTGAAATAGAGCTGATGCTGATGATATGCATTGTCACTCCAACTTCCACTGGCGGACCTGTGAAAAAGATGCATGGAAAAGTTTATCACACAATGTTCTCATACTCTTTACTGCCAATCAATTCATTAGGGATCATTGTCAATTAGTTGCTCATTCTCAATTCAAAAGTCAGCATCCCACTTACCCCGCGTTCCAATTACCCGTTGGCAGTCTACTAATTGAATTGCTCCAAAATGCCAATTACGTTTTGCATTTAATTAAATTATGACTTTAATAATGTAGGCTTCTTGCTGGCAATTAAAGTGGCTGTCTAGTTGACGCAGACAAAGCCACAGACGCCAACAAAACTGCCGTTGTCTACAAATAGCCCTTGCATAATCTGCCACTACGGAAAACAACACTAATGCTCTCGAGTATCTTCCTTTCCTACCTTTTTTGCTGTTACTGCATTCAGTACTATCTTGCAGTCATGGTCTTTTGACCATCATAACTAACAAATTGAAATTAATAATACAAACTGCTGGACTACATTGTTTATAAAGCAAACATTTTCTTTAAGCTACCGGCTACTAATTTGCATGTAATGCTCAAAACAAACAATGCGGTACTGTGCCAATTCATGCAGAAACAGACGTTGTGAATTGTTCAAAGTAAAAAAACAATGGAATTAGCTAATTAGAATGTGTCGCCGGCAACAGAGTCGCCCGGTGGAAAGTCTACTAACATTTTTCTTTTCTTTATAAATAGCCTCTATTTTGCATCTAAAAACTTTATTTTTACTTTGTAACAGTCGATGACCAAAAATTTATTAAAAGTTATTTTTGTTCATTTTGTAAAATTTTAAAAACTAAAACAAAGTGCACTTTGCAACATCAATTTTGATGCAATTTTTAGTTTTTGTTCACTTACCTGCATAGTCGGGACGCACTCGTTTGTCGTAACCACTATCAAAGAAAGCATTGAGAATGCGAGTTATGTTGAGGCCAATTTCCGTTTGTCTGCAAATAAAGAAAATTTAGTAAATTAAATTTAAAATATAATTCGATTTTGATAAATGATAAATTTAATCAAACTAAAATGTTACCAAACAGATAGCAAAAATTTGCAGATTAGTAAAACTAAAAATGAAACTGAATCAGCTGTCAAAAAAATCAGTTTCCAATTGAAAATCAGTACAAAGTTAATCAATTTTTTTAAAGAACTCTTGCCACAGTTGGCCTTGAGATTGTGGCATTGTCTGTCTTATACTAGGTCAGTCGAACACACATCAAAGAACAATAAAACATTGTTCAAGTACTTAATAACTGCCCCAATTGCAATTTAACTGGATTCAGTAAAAAACCAGTGACTCACTCCCTCATTCCCCAGTATCTACTAACTTCAAAAATAGTCCAAGCTATTTGCAAGTCCACTTTTACAATCGAAACTTGGTCAACCATCTTTGGTCATCTTCAGTTTTTGGCAAGTAGTAATATTGTCTCCTTGTTGTTACTTTTATTCATTAATCGCAAGTGCAATAAAAAGCAGCTAGTAGTAATAAAGTAAGGTAGCCTTGCAATAAATGCAGCAATAAGAATTGAACTTTTCTTTATTGAATGAACGAAAAATGCTTATCCAGGCAAAACATATCATTTTTCCGGTTTAGTCAGTTTTGTAACTGCATTTANTGGTCAACCATCTTTGGTCATCTTCAGTTTTTGGCAAGTAGTAATATTGTCTCCTTGTTGTTACTTTTATTCATTAATCGCAAGTGCAATAAAAAGCAGCTAGTAGTAATAAAGTAAGGTAGCCTTGCAATAAATGCAGCAATAAGAATTGAACTTTTCTTTATTGAATGAACGAAAAATGCTTATCCAGGCAAAACATATCATTTTTCCGGTTTAGTCAGTTTTGTAACTGCATTTACCGGTTTCAAAAATTTTAACAAAACTTTTGTAAATAAGTAATATAAACATACAATAAATAGCAATAAAATTTTTATTAAAACAAAATATTTCAGCAATGACTTTTTATTTTGATAAACCAAAAAGCTTAGTAAAGATTTTGAGTTTATCTGTTTAATCAAAAAAATTAAAATGTTGTTTTTCCTGTATGACTTTGTTAAAAATTTGTCCATAAATAAACAATAAACAAATATAATTTTTTATCACGAACACATTTTGCAAATACTTTCAAATTTTGTTGTAAATTTTATCAGTAAATATTAATATTGTCGATATTTAAAAAACATTGTTGATAACCACTGCTACATTAAAAATTGGGCCACTTCAGTGCAAACCTAGAAAAAAAATGAAAACGATGCAGTATCCTTTTAAGGTGCTTTCACAAAATTACTAAACATCACATATTAAGTTGTTTATAAAAAATATGTAAAAATAAATTCACAAAACAAAACACAAAACAAAAACAAGTTTTTAGTTTCTTTTTTGGGATAATATTGAGTTAGAAAGTTTGTGTGTGACGTCAAAGTGTGTGCGTGTTATCGCATAAAAAGCAACTAAACTAGCATTGTTACCTAAAATTTAAAATGAAAAATGCAATAAAAATTGTTTTTAAACCAATTCAGCGCACACTAAAATATAAAAATTGATTTGAAAACAAAATTAATAAAAAAATTTAAAAAAATAATAACTGGGACTACTTTCTATTACACAATGAGGTGTATGCAGGTTTTATTAGTGGAAAAAAGTCGATCGATGAGGTGTAAATTATTCATAATACTAAAGAGCACTAGAACACAATTTATTTTCAGCTACCTCTTGTAAGCTTGAAACATTTTTTATCTTGTTATCACGTTTTTGTCTCAAACAACTGAAAAAATTATTTACATTTTAACTTAGTTAATTATTTGTTTATCTGTTACAGTGAAATTAAGAAAATTTATTATTTACACTGCTAGCATTTTCAAAAAAACCCATTTTTGCCGTGCAAACCTAACTTTTTGGAAAATGCACCATATTGTTTTTAATTAAAGATAAGTGCTGCTTTTTTCAATCATTTTTGCTAGTTTTTTTATTTGTTAACGCGTGCAAGAAACGTTTTTGTAATTGTTTAAGTGTGTCGGTGCTCATTGCAGTGATGAGGGCAAACTGCAGAGGGAAACTAGGGCTGCCAACCGGAATCTTGCTTGTCTTTCATCTGAATCTAAATTAATTAAATCTGAAGGCGACTTTAGGCATTTGCGGTAGCGGCAAACAGCAAAGTTAAACTGCAGTCAATTTAATGTAATTACAATCTACTCGGACACACTCTAGCACACTACTGCTCAAACAGAATTTGAATTGCCATTAATATTGGTGTATGTGCGCTTGTCGGTACGTCAGTCTCATTATACCTGGTTCATAATTTGTCGCAATTATAAACGCAGAACATTAAGTAAGTACCGGCAACATACGGAAGAGAATGAAGACTGTCCCAACAAGAGGAGAAAAGTGGGCCAGTGCCAGCTCACTGGTACGGCATTGATTGAACTACTGCCGCTTCCAGTACAGTGCCAGGGGACAGTGAGCTCTTCAGTCATCTGGTCATCTGCACCAGTGACTGACTCTGCACACTGACCAGTGGAGTGACACTGGCTGCCACTCTGCCAGTGCCTCCTCTCACCAGTCCTCAACGTCATGTGCGATGAATAGTGAACAGTGCTCGTTGAGGAAAAGGAGCGCACCGGAGCACTATCTGCCTCTTTGCAAGCCATCATCAGGAGATAGACGAACATATAAGCTGGAGAGCTGCCAGGTGACAAGCTACAGCAGCTGTTGCTGCTGATCTGCACTACCGCAGCAAATTCTACCTCACGACCACTAAGCTAAATCTCTTGAATCAATTGAAATAATTACATAGGCAGTGTGGACTTGCAAAAGCCAGTATGAGAAGTGCTGCAAAAACTCATTAAGTGCAACAAACAAAGTAAAAACCATGCATTTGAGGTACAGTAAAAATAAATATCGCAATAAAAAAATGAAAACACGGTCAAGTCTATAAATTGGTCAAGCAAAATGCAGTTTAGCTAAAGGAAATTGAAAGAACTACACTGCTGCTTATTTAGACTCCATTTACAAGTGCTTTCACAATTGTTTTTTAATGGCAGTCAAAATCATTAATGTAATCGAGAAATTAAACACATAAACAGGTGTTCCAGCGTCAACTCACACACTTCTCTCCCTTGACACCAATATCAAATGGTCATCAACTTTTGTCTAGTTGCCGATTAAAAGTCAACTTTATACTCTATTTGGCATCAATTTAAAATAAAAATCTTACTAAAAACTGTGAACAAATCTAAAACAGCCACACTCTAATTTAAGTAACAATCTATTACAGTGTTTTAGTGGCAAAAGCAGTGTTTTGTCAATTTTCAATTACCAAACAATAAACCAGTTTATTGCTTGCTCAATTTAATCAGACAAACAAACAAACCGACTGGAGGCGATGATTTGCTTTTAATTGAATCCTACCTACAACCAAAGGACATTCAATTGAAAAAACCCCAGTTAGAAACTGAAACAGCAAAAACACAATCAAACGCAAACAATTATTTAGAATAAGCGCAAAACAACAATAACAAAAAGCAGCTGCTAATTAATTTGCTTGATCTCAATCTAATGCTTTTTGTTTCTGTTCATGCGACTTTATCCTGATTTAAAGCAAATTGGCTTAACAAACAGAAAAAAATGATAAAAACTATAAAAAGTGTCTTGCTCAAAAAATCATTTTTTTCAAAAAAAAAATTAATTGAAAGATTTAAAATACAAAAAATGTTGAGTTTTAAAATTCTAAAATTTTTTTGTTTATAACTAAAAAACTGTTAAAATAAAATGTTCAATCTAGTCTTGATTATATTTTTGTAGCCAAATCATGATTAGTCAAACGTTTGAGCTCTTATTAGCGATTTTTTTGTCAGTTTTTAGTAATTTCATCGTTTTCATACTTTGTATAAGCATTCAAGATAGTTGTCAACTGGAACAAGACGATGAATTGTTCAAAGACAGTACCAAGTTTCAATGTTTTATGTTTCCAGAAACGAACCCAGTCATTTTTGAAGGCACTAGAGAAACTTTTGCTCAGAAAACGACGTATATTCAAGCACGTAAGGAAATTCGTAAACATTTCAACTCAACACTACCACAAGAGATCGCCATGTCATCATCCACGCCAATCTACCTATACTTTCTGGGTCGTCACACCATTCGCTATCCAATGGACAGAGAAATGAGCGTTTTCATGAAGATACTGCCCCAGCTGAAGGAAATGATGCTGTCCAGTGGAAAACTGAAACCTAAAGTAGCTGAAGAGCTGAGAAACTGGCAACTGCTAATGCATCCCTCGGAAGCTGCTCGAGTGACACAGTCGGGCAAACACGAGACGGCCATTATCGCTCGTTACTTCTACTCACTTTTTCCTCAACTGTTGAATGTAAACACAACTGCATTTGAAGTAAATCACACATCGCTGGTAAGAACAAAAGAAACTTCTGAAGCCTTTGTTCGCTCGCTGGCAGAGGTTCAAAGTCGAAACTGCAGTCACACTTTTGAACAGTCCAACAATCAAGCAGAAACTTTTTTCAGCCAAATTTGTAGTCGAATGAAAGTCAACGATGAAGTTTTGCTGTCTCATAAAAGAGAGCACAGGAAAAAGGCACAAAGAGAAGAAGATGCTCTTCGAGAGAGTTCTGTCATCAAGGCAATGGTACGACAGTTCTGTGAACGCAATGGACTGGTGGGAGAGATGGCTTCATTTGAAAATGTGGAAACACTTCGACGAATTGCATCATACGAAATGGCCCATCACCGCTATTCACCTTTTGCTTACCTTTTTACCATTAAAGAACTGCAAGTGATGGAGTACCTGTACGACTTGTCTTGGTACAGAGTCGCCTACGGCCATACTGACCACAAAGCAGGGACCATTGTCACCAGTGATCTCTGCCGTAAACTTCATGAGGTCATCAAATCACCGCCCAGTGATGGCCACACAAAGGCGACGCTGTACTTTAGTCACGATGGTCTTTTCAAGCGACTACTTGGCTACTTTGGGCTTTTCAAGTACTTTCCACCCTACCAGCTGCGACACAACCGCCTGTACATTTCCAAAGAGCGTCAGTGGAGAGTTTCGTACCTCTTTCCTTTTGGAACCAATCTCTGTGTGGTATTGTTTCGTTGTGGTGGCAAGCACAAACTGCTGACGTTGTACAACGAAATACCCGTCACTTTGGAGGGAATGACCAGTGCGTTGACAGATTTAGAAGACTTTTTAGTTCACTACAATCACTAGTGAACGGTCATTTACAAAACCAAAAAACAGAATTGGGTTTTTGATTATTCAAATCAGCAGCCATATAGTTTTCGTTTAATCTCTTTTACAAAAAAAAAGTTTATCTCAAACTAAACAATTTTTA